ACTTTTAACAAACTTTTTAATTTATTAATTTTTACAAATGCAAAACACTAAAAAATTGCTACAGCTTTACATTTTGTACTTTCTTCTTTGCAGAAGTAAAAAAAAAATGTTTTTGTGTAATACATTTTTAAAAAGTGCACGTTTTCGTTAAAAAAAGACGTCTTGTTTCTAAAATTAAGCGACATAATTTTTAATTTTACCATTTAAAAGTCACTAACGGACACCCTGTATTTGTCCAGTTTTTTTGTCGCAATTCTGCAGCAGCATCGTGGATGCATAATTCTGGCACAAGTTCTCTTAAGTTTTTCCGTAAATAAATCAAAGTTTCCAAGTGTTGCGCACCGCACTTTTTGCTTTAATTTCAAATAGGCAGACGAACTGTTGCTGAAGTGAACACCACGACCCACAAATTTATGATTTCGGATTTGATTTAATGTTTTGCATTGAGAGAGAAGAAGAAGAAGGGAATCAAAATAATATTATTATATTTTTAAGCATCCAGACACATAAATACCATCTTGGGGACTCCCCCAACTACACTTGTATATTTTTCGATAATTGCAAATTTATTTCGAGAAGGCGTGTTCCAGACGACTTGACGCCAGAAAAATTTGATCATTTCACAAAACCTACACGCCACTGGATTGTTGCTATAACAACAACATTGTTTCCATAGTTACAATATATTTCTATAGTAACGATAGTGACATGTGCGACTCGTTTAGGATGGAAATAGAGGGGGTCAAAATTTTATTTTCTCTCTCTCTCTCGGTGCGCTGACGTCAATAACACCTATTACATAATTCATGTTGTATTAATGATCCGAAATGTAAATATAGCCCTCGTATTTGTAATTTTCAGTGCCGGTATCATCGAGTGGAAGTGGGGATACTCTTCGACAACGTCATGTACCATTATATGGACGTTTGGTACCCGAAGATCAGTTGGGTATGGGTCATATGTCAAATCCACCAGCTGATATTCAAGCAATGCAAGCACGAATACCACACACTTTTAGGGACTCGTCGGCGGCACCTTTACGAAAATTGAGTGTTGACCTCATCAAGACCTATAAGCACATCAACGAGGTAAAAAATCTAGTCGTCTTAGTGTAAACACTAAGCCCACTTATTTGAGTTGCGAAACCCCATTTCGGATATTAGGGTTTTTTGGAGGTTTTACACATATTGTGAATTAGTTGTAAAAATTTTTGGAATTTAATCGTAATTTCTGGGAATTATTAAAATTATTTTCGGATTGTCTAGAATCACTATAGTTATCTGTAAATTAATGGATTTTTCGAGATAATTTATTTTAAAAATTGCGTCGAACTTTTTAAAACTATCACAAATAATTTTAAATTACAGGACTTATTTTAGAATTACGAAAATTCAGTTGGAAATACAGAAATTAATTTGGAATTGTCGGAATTAATCCCAAAACAATGAATTAATAAAATTACTGAAATTGAATTTTTTACAAACAATTAATTCCAATTACAAAAACATTTCACCAAAATTTTATTATTCCCAATTAATTCCAACTTATTTATCGTAATTCCAAAATAATTTCTGCAGTTCCAAATTAATTTCGATAGTTTTAAGCAATTCAACGTAATTTTGCAAGTAATTCCAAAAACATTCTAGTAATTCTTGAAAAATTTCTACCTCAGGACTACTTGAGTTCATTATAAATACTTGAAAATAAATATCAATAAATTGCAAATTGTCAAGAATTTGGAAAAAAACTGTCAAAAATATTAAATTTTCCGTGAAATAAGTGTAAATTCAATTCAATCTGCAGTTTTTCGTGAAAAATTGGAATTATTTGATAATTATTACATAAAATTTTATAAAAACCTCAAGAAGTTGTCGATAATTACAAATCCAACCAATGGAAATACTATTTATTTGAAAAAAAGTTATCTATTTCAGTGTTGAAACTTTTGTATTGTAAAATATTTTAGCATTTTTTTTCTTTCCCAATTTTCAAAACATGAAAAAAGAGGAATTTAAAAATTACTAAAATTGAATTTTGGTGAAATTTTTCTGAAATTACTGGAATTTTTTACAATTAGTGCAATTCTTTATGAAATTATCAGAGATAATTTCTTTTGAAAATCACGTTGAATTTTTTGGAATTAATTTGGAATTACAAGGATTATTTTAAAAGTACAAAATTACAGAAATTAAGTTGGATTACAGGAATTAATATAGAATTTAATTAATTACGATGGATTAATAGAATTGCTGGAATTACTTGTAAATTACAAAATTACGTTGAATATCTTAAAAATATCGTAATTAATTTAGAATTACGAAAATCATATGTTGGAATTAAGTTGTAATTATAGAAAATAATTTAGAATTGTATGAATTAATCCGAAAACAGTGGAATTACGATGAATCTAATATTAATTAATAGAATTATTGAAACTGAATTTCGGTGTATTTTTTTTATTTTTTTTATCGTAATTATTTGTATAAACAGATTTAAATTTCACGAGATATGATGGAATTTTCTCCAAATTTTGACGATTTTTGAGTTTTACGTACGATTTTTGCCANAGTTGTAATTATAGAAAATAATTTAGAATTGTATGAATTAATCCGAAAACAGTGGAATTACGATGAATCTAATATTAATTAATAGAATTATTGAATAAAAATCGGGGTGTATTTTTTAATTTTTACTTTGACACACTTTTTATGGACACGGATTTAAATTTCACGAGATATGATGGAAATTTCTCCAAATTTTGACGATTCGTACGATTTTTGCCAATTTATAGAGATATTTGAGTAATTTAATTAAAAAGAGAAGTATTTTTGGAGATTTCTTGGAATGTTTTGTATTTTTTTCTATTTGTGTTTAAATCTTTTGTTCATATTTCGATTTGTCAGTATTCAATATATAGGGTGTCTTCTTAATACATATTGCAAAAAATGCAACCACATAACACTAATTTGTCAAATATTAAAATCCTATAGTTCCTACAAAACCACTTTAAAACGCTTATTTTGGCAATAAATTAAACTGTTTTTTGTTTTTTTTTTTTTTGTTCAAATTGTATATAATATTTCGTAACGAACCACAATTTTAACTTTTTATAATTCTGAGAAATATTTTTCTTTCAATTTTTTGCGAATTCGAACCACAATTTTGATTGAATTGAATCAAAAATTTGTTCGAAAATCGTATAATCCCATAACGACTATTCGGAGACCTGTTACTCTGTTTATGGTTAAGGTTAATGCCTCTGTTATGGTCTCTAGTTTGTGAACAATTATAATGGCAATTACGACACGCGTCGTCAGCGACAAGGTTCACCCCAATTAATTAGAACACAATCGTGTCGAATTAAGAGGCCAATTAAATCGTACAAAAATACAGTAAAAGAAAGGAAAAAAATAAATAAATATGTAAATATTAGAAGTCGATCACGTGTGTCGACAATGTGTTGACTGTCATCGTCATTCTTCTTTGCTATAAGTTTTAGTGGGGTTGCGTGTCCTGCATCCTTGAACAGATAATAACTTGGAAAACGTATATACAGGGTGTTACGTCTAAACCCCACATTAAAAGTATTGGGAGTTCGAATAATTGTATTTATTTGAAAATTGGTACATAGCCATAATTTATTAAGTCCTCCTAAATGAAAATATTTTTAAGATGGCGTATATTTTTTACTGCGTTTTTGGATTAATCGGGTTATTTTAAGGGATTTTGTATCAGCTTTCTAGAATTTTAAAATTTCTAAACTCTAGAATTTTTGAAATTTGATCTTCATTTTTACAGTTCTAGAAATTTTAAAATTAAAATTTTCAATTCCTAATTCTAAAATTTCATTAAATTTTATTAAATTCATTAAGTTCTCATAAATGAAAATATTTTCAAGATGGTGGCACTTCCGGTTATACCGGAAGTCGGTCTCAACTTTCTTATTTTAAATGGAAAGCTATATTTTTTATTGCGTTTTTGGATTAGTCGGGTTATTTTAAGGGAGTTTTCATCAGCTTTCCCTATACCTAAATTTAGCCGTTTTTGAAATATTTGGAGTTTTTCAAAAATTTTTGGATCTGCACCTTACATTTTAAAAATCGGTAACTCTGCCATTTTTTGGTTTTGAATTCGTTTTTTTGGCGTTTGAAAGAGAAAGTTTATATATTTCTTCTGGTGTTTTCACATTTTGAAAAAAAAATTAACAAACCCTAAAATTTTAAGGTTACTTTTGTAATAATTCAAATAGCCATAATTCAATTTTTCTAAATGAAATACCCTAATTTTTATTTTACTACATGGAAGAGAATTTAATTCTGCGTCGATCTGTATTAACATTCCCTATACCTAAATGTAATAATTTGGGCAAAAAACAAATAAGAAAAAAGCATTTTTTTGTTTTTTTTTTTCTTTATTTATCTAAATTTGAGAGAAATTTGCCCAAACAACGCAAACAATTTCAAAAGTGAAATGCGTCATTTTTGTTTCTTTTTAAAAATTCAAAGCATTTTTTATATAGAAATTCACAAAATTCGAGAAATTAACTAAAACAAGGCAGAAAATTGCGAAACTAAATTTAGAAATGGGTTTTTTCTTATTTTTAGAAATCCAAACCGTTTTTTTTTAATTTTATTGAAATTGAAAAATATCGTTAAAATAACACCAAAAATTGCAAAATTAGGTGAAAAATTTGTTTTTTTTATTAAGTTTTGGAGTGTTATAAACAATTCCTAGAAAGTTTGTCAAAGCAAAAAAGAAAATTCTAAAAGTATGTCTAAAATAGCTTAATTTTAATTATTTCGACAAACTTTTAGCACTTTTCATCGAAACATTTTTTATTATTTTTTCGTTTATCATTTTTTTTCTTTTTCCCTCAATTCGTTTTGCTATTTAAGTGAATTTAAAAAAATTGCCAAAACAAACTTTGAATGCAACAGAATTAGAAAATATAAAAATTTAAAAGTAAAATTAGGTAAAACCAAAAAATTGGAGGAAATCGAAGAAAAAAAAAAGTACTCGTAAATAAACAAATGTAGAAAATAATATAATAAAAACATGCATTTTAAAAAGCTAAACTCTATTAAAAAATTGCAACCATAAAAAAAAATCAGAGTAGGTACAAAAAAAACATTTTTTTTTATTTATCGTTGATATAATAAAATTAGATAAATATTACAGATATTAAAAAAATAAAGAGAAACTAAAACAATGATCAAAATTGGTAAGAAACTAAAAAATAAATTTTGAATAAACAAACAAAATCAAGAAAATTTATTTTCTATGCACAAATGAAGTAAAAAGTAAATGGGGGAAGATTAATAAATAAATTTTGGATAGTAAAAAATTGATTAAAGTAAAAAAAATAAAGAAAATCAAGTCTAAATTAACTCAGAGCTAATAACATTTAAAAAAATAAAGTTATGGTGACTTTTTATTAAGACTGTCGAAAATCTATTACGTTTTCGTATAGTTTGCTATGG